TTCTTCCAAGACAGATTTGTTCATTCTTTTGGCAATCTGTGGTATATTCAATATTCTTCACCAACATCATAATTTAAAGGCATTAGTTCTTCTGTCTTCTTTATTCATTGTCCAGCTTTCATATGCATATGAGGCAATTGAAAAAACCATGACTTGGGTCAGGCATGCTTTAGTCCTCAAAGTGATATCTTTGCTTTTTTTTTTAACACTTTGTTAAAAAAGGTCTTTGCAGAATAGGTAAATCCATAGAGACAGGGAGCAGATTGGTGGGTTCCAGGGACTAAGAGCTGGGAGGAATAAGGAGTAAGTGCTTAAAGGATATGGAGTTTTCTTTTGGGATGATGAAAACATTTTGGAACTAGACAGAGGTGGCAGGTGCATAACACTGTAAATGTACTAAATGCCACTAAATGGTACACTTTTAAATTATTGATTTTATGTTGTGTGATTTTCACCTCAATTGGAAAAAAAAAATGTTACGTACTCACAAAGTGACACTGGGATTTTTTTTCTTTTTATTGTTGCTGTTTTACCTTTCTGTATCAAATTTGTTAGTCTCCATATCCAGGTATAAAACTCCTTTGGAGGAGTGGGCAACCTAATTTAGACTCTGTGAAATGAGCATCAGGAAAATACAGCAGTGAGAGGAAGGAGTAGGGGAGCAGCTTCAACAACATCCAGGCCCTAGGTCAGAGGGCCAAGTCACCCTTACGTTAACCAGTGGTTCTCAAGAGAGGGCCATGTTTCACCTATGGCTGCCTTCATTTGCAAGAAACAAGCACAACTTGACCTTACTAATGAAGAAGAAGGAAGAAGAGGGTCAGAGAGAGAAGAGGAAAGGCGGTAGTGATTGTAGTCGTTGTAGAGGTAGTGGCTGTAATAGCAGGGGTGGGGTTGTACAGGCATACCTCAGAGATATTACAGGTTCAGTTCCAGACCACCACAATAAAGCAAATATCTCAATAAAGAGAGTCACACTAATTTTCTGGTTTCCCAGTACTTATAAAAGTTATGTTTACACTATACTGTAGTCTGTTAAGTGTCAGTAGTATTATGTCTAAAAAAACAATGTGCGTACCTTAATTAAAAAATATTTTATTGCTTAAGAAATGTTAACCATCATCTGAGCCTTCAGTGAGTCATAATCTTTCTGCTCGCAGAGGGTCTTGCCTTGATGTTGATGGCTGCTAACTGATCAGGTGGGTGCTTGCTGAAGGTTGGGGTAGCTGTAGCTATTTCTTAAAATAAGAATAATGAAGTTTGCCACATTGATTGACTCTTCCTTTCATTAAAGATTTCTCTGTAGCATGTGATGCTGTTGGATAGCATTTTACCCACAGTAGAACTTCTTTCAAAATTGGAGCCGGTCCTCTTAAAACCTGCTGCTGCTTGACCAACTAAGTTTATGTAGTATTCTAAATCCTTTGTTGTCATTTCAACAATGTCCACAGCATCTTCATCAGGAGAAGATGCCTTCACAAAAAAACACTTTCTTTGCTCATCTCTAAGAAGCAACTCCTCATCCGTTAAAGTTTTATCATGAGATTGCAGCAATTCAGTCACATCTTCAGGTTCCTCTTCTAATTCTAGTTCTCTTGCTATTTCCACCACATCTGAAGTTACTTCCTCCATCGAAGACTTGAACCTCTCAAAGTCATCCATGAGAACTGGAATCAACTTCTTCCAAACTCCTGTTAATGTTGATATTTTGACCTCTTCCCATGAACCACGAATGCTCTTAATGGCATCTAGAAGGGTGAATTCTTTCCAGAAAGTTTTCAATTTACTTTGCCCAGATCTATCCGAGGAATCACTGTTTACGACAGTTACAGCCTTATGAAATGTATTTCTTAAATAATAAGACTTGAAAGTCAAAATTACTCCTTGATCCATGGGCTGCAGGAGGGATGTTGTGTTAGCAGGCATGAAAACATTAATCTCTTTGTACACCTCTTGGGTGACCAGGTGCATTGTCAATCAGCAGTAATATTTTGAATCTTTTTTTATGAGCAGTTGGTCTCAACAGTGGACTTAAAATATTCAGTAAACCATATTGTAAACAGATGTGCTGTCATCCAGACTTTGTTGTTCTATTTATAGAGCACAGACAGAGTAGATTTGGCATAATTGTTAAGGGCCCTAGGATTTTTAGAATAGTAAATGAGCATTGGCTTCAATTTAAAGTCACCAGCTGCATTAACCCCTAACAGGAGAGTCAGCCTGTCTTTTGAAGCCTTGAAGCCAGGCATTGACTTCTCCTTTCTAGCTATGAAAGTCCTAGATGGCATCTTGTTCCAATCTAAGGCTGTTTCATCTACATTGAAAATCTGTTGTTTAGTGTAGCCACCTCCCTCTATTATCTTAGCTAGATCTTCTGGATAATTTGCTGCAGCTTCTACATCAGCACTTGCTGCTTCACCTTGCACTTTAGTGATGGCTTCTTTCCTTAAACTTCATGTACCAACTTCTGCTAGCTTCAAACTTTTCTTCTGCAGCTTCCTCACCTCTCTCAGTATTCACAAAATTGAAGAGCATTAGGGCCTTTCTCTGGATTAGGCTTTGGCTTAAGGGAGTGTTGTGGCTGGTTCGATCTTCTATCCAGACTAGTTTTAGCGGTCTGGATAGAACTAAAACTTTTTCCATATCAGCAATAAAGATGTTCCACATTCTTATCATTCGTGTATTCACTGGGTAGCATTTTTAATTTCTTTCAAGAACTTTTCCTTTGCATTCACAACTTGGCTGTTCGGTGCAAGAGGCCTAGCTTTTGGCATATCTTGGCTTTTGACCTGCCTTCTTCACTAAGCTTAATCATTTCTAGCTTTTGATTTAAAGTGAGAGACGTGCAATGCTTCCTTTCACTTGAACACTTAGAGACCATTGTAAGGTTATTAATTGGCTTAATTTCAATATGGTTGTGTCTCAGGGAATAGGGATGCCCAAGGAGAGGGACAGAGATAGGGGAGCAGCCGGTCCGTGGAGCAGTCGGAATACACAACATTTATTAAGTTCACCGTCTTACATGGGTGTGGTTCATGGCATCCCAAAACAATTACAATAGTAACATCAAAGATCACAGATCACAGATCACCATAACAAATATAATAATAATGAAAAACTTTGAAATATTGCAAGAATTACCAAAATGTAACACAGAGACACGAGGTGAGCACATGCTGTTGGAAAAAAGGCGCTGATAGACTTGCTCGATGCAGGGTTGCCACAAACCTTGAATTTGTAAAAAACTCAATATCTGCAAAGCGCAATAAAACAGCATATGCCTGTAGTGGATTCGTTATAAGAAACCTAGAGTATATTATCCACCATCTGTCAGTTTGTTGTGCTGTGGTGGCTTGGGTGCTGCTATGATGCTATGAAGCTATGCCTCCAGTATATTAAATACCAGCAGGTTCACCCATGGTGGACAGGTTTCAGTGGAGCTTCCAGACTAAGACAGACTAAGAAGAAAGTCCTGGTGATCTACTTCCAAAAATCAGCCAATGAAAACCCTATGGATGACAATAGAATATTGTCCAATATAGTCTTTAAGGTAACCCCACTAGGTTGGAGGGAACTGAAAATCCACAGAAGTCCCAACCATGGACTCCAGCATATCTATGATTGTAAAGATGAGGCAGGTCCAGGGAATGTTTCATTCTGTTGTACATGAGGTTGCCTTGAGTTGGAGCCAACTCAATGGCAGCTAACAACAGAACATATCATGGAACTGAAGGGCAGGGAAATATCCAAGCCTCAGAAAGAGACTGGAAACAAGTGGGAAACCATCAGGATCACAGCGGGCATGCCCCCCGCCCACACACACACAGGCTTCCTTGCTGCACACCCTCTGGGTGCTGCCCCTACCCTCATCCTGCAGACTAGCTTTCCAGATACTCAGTTTACATGGCAGGAAATAACTACCCTATAGTCTCCAAGCCTTTATAACTCCTGTTACTCGGAAAACAGCCCACACTAAAGTGGAACCTTTTAATACCAATTCCAAATTTCTGTAAGAGAATCTGATTGGTCCAGTTTGACCATTTAATGAGGCCCAGTCAAGTGGCCAGGTCTCCACTTACGGAGTATAAACAAGGCTGCCAGGAACACAGCCCTGTGGGTGAAGTGGGACAGTTAAGTGATCATGAGAGCTGGGAAGAAACCTCAAAAAGGCATCGTCTAGATTCCATCACTGTCTTCCACGCGATTCAAAGTTTAGTCTCTTTGAGTATGACCTGCCTGTTTCTGGTTTTTCTGTTTTGTTTTGGTTTGCTTTGAATCAATAATTGGGAAATTTACCAGAAGTCCAAAATTTACTTATTTCCTTATTCAAAACAGCACATTACACTCATTCTTTTTTTGGAAAGAAGAATTTTGGCATGACAAAGAAAAAAGGAATATGGAAGTTTTGTTTCAGCCCCTTCAAACCTAGACATGGACCCAAATGTTTGAAAAACACCATTCTTATGCCATCTCCAAGGAAAGAATCAAGTCAACAGTATTCTATTTTCTTCCATAAAAGTAAAAAAAAAAAAAAAAATGCTTACTTTAAAAGGAAAGGGGATGATTTGTATTATGCCTAAGAAAATAATTATAGGTGCTTATAAGCCTGTCTTATAAGTGATTTCTTGCTATAAGGCCCAGCACACTTCAAAATATTGTTCCCAACACATTACACCCCTGCCAATTTTTCCTTTCTCAGTTTTATTTGTGGCTTTTCCTATAAAGAATCGCAGTGCAATTTGAAAGGTTGAATCACACAGCTCAATGGCTGCTCCTGCCCCCTTCCCATCCGCCAGGACCTTGTTCTAAATGTGGGAGAGGCAATGTGGCAGGAAATCATTATGGCCTGGCAGCCACACGGGGCTGGACTCAAAGGGCACACCGAAATGAGTTGAGGGTATTAGAATCCATTCTGAAGATTTACCTGTCTTTGGAACAGCTTCTATTTTCTAATGCCTGAGAGATCTTAATAGCCTTTGTTTTGCCCCATTTCCCTCCAGCCTTAGCGCAGATATGAATGCTGATGTGGTGTGCCACACTCTGGAGTTTTGTAAACAGGACGCTGGCCGACCATTGTGTCATCTCTACCCCCCTCCCAAGGTGAGTGGTTTCTCACACTGCTCTGACGGTCAGATTCCCATGACATGCAAGCCCTTCCAGAAACGTTGCAAAGGGAGGCTCAGCTTCACACATTCAGCGGTTTGGCGACAGAGAGAGGAAAGATGACATTTTTAATTACGCTGCATGAAATATTATTCCTGCACTTAAACCAAGATCCCTTCCTCCTGCCAAAGCATGTTTTTGCTGTTAAAATATTGTAGACTGTGATCTGTAGCTAGGCTGGGAGTAACTAGGAAATCAGATTGCCAAGGAGAGACAGGTTCAAATCCCTGGTCTAGACACTTAAAATTCGGGCAAGTTACTTTTATAGGGTGACCAGCTTGTCCCTGTTTGCCTGAGACTTAACCTGGTTTTAACACTGAAAGTCACGTGTCCCAGGAAACCCTTGGGTCCTGGGAAAACCTGAATGGTTGGTCACCCTAGTCTAAGTTTTATTGTTCTCACCCATAAAATGGGTATAACAACAATACCTGCCTCATAGGTTTGTTGTGGGAGGTAGGTGAGCTAATACATCTAAGATGCTTCATAACACAATGCTAGGTAACAAAATATCTGCTCCATAAAACAGTTTTAATAAAAACTGTAGCTATTATAGTAGTTATCAGTATTATTATTATTCACAGATAACTGTTCAGAAGACCCTGTCCGCATTATATCATTTTTGGCCATTTTTAATTGGATTGCAGCCAGAGAGAAGGCCGCAAATGTTGACACAATTCCCTGTCCACACTCTTGATGAGAATGTAATATTAAATCTGGGTAGGCCTCACAATCTTGATTTTCAGAAGCTTCCTATAAGACAAGTATTCCTATGCCTTCTTTACCAGAGTGTAGTTTTTTCTACATTACAATACAAAACAGGTTTTCTGTTTTACTTGTAATTTCTTTTTTCTTAGTAGTGAAATAAAGTCAGTCTGAAAACTTTGTAGGCTAAACAATGAACCTTATTTTGCTAACTACAATACTAAATATAATAAGCCTGTCTCCTGGAGCAGGAAGAGAGAGACAAATGTTTGGGATATGAGTGTATTTCATGCTTCCTTGCTCTTTGGATAAATTCCAATTAAATTTCCCCTAAGTCCACCTGAGAAGCTGTGGGTTCCACTGCTTTCTGGAGGAGTTAGTTCATTTTAATTAAAAAATATTTTTTCATGTGCTCAAATAGTGTTTGAATATTGTATCATAATATTGGCTGTATGATATTGTAAAGAGAAAAAGTGTCTATGGATGAAGGCAAGTGATATGGGTTTTTGTGATTTCTATATGCATTTAAATAGCATCCTGTTACAGATACATTATGATAGACTCAAACGTGCTGGTGGTTATGGGCATGATGCAGGGCTGGGTGAGGTTTCGTTCTGTTGTACATAAGGTTGCCATGAGTTGGAGTCGACTCGACAGCAGCTATCTATTTGTCTATATACATTATACCCACAGCCTCACATAGTCAAAAAGTGTTCAGTTTTAACTATGCTGTTTAAAATGACATTTTTATATTGTTCTTTATTTTTATACTCTGTGAAGATTATGGAACCCTGGTGGCGCAGTGGTTAAGAGCTCGACTGCTAACCAAAAGGTCAGCAGTTCGAATCCACCAGCTGCTCCTTGGAAACCCTATGGGGCAACTCTACTCTGTCATACAGCATTGCTATGAGTTGAAATCAACTCAGCAGCAATGGTTTGGTTTTTTGGTTATGAAGATTATACTAGAAAATTTCTATGGTTCCTCGTCTTCCCATCACAATCCCCTTTTCAATTGCCATCTCTGGGTTAGTTTGACCATTCTATTTTGTTACTGAGGGAATTGGAGGGCTTCATCCCAGAAATGTTCAGCTTCCACCCCAGCCAGACATTCCAAGCTGCTGGAAAGCCTGCAACTGCTCCCTGGTGAATATCTTTCAAATTCTTCTTGCTGAAGTTCTGGGCCTTCATCTTCACCTCAGATCCCCTCACCAGTCTCCATCTCTACCGATGACCCAGAGAAAAAGGAGAGTCAGGGCGGCTTCACTCATCTCTGCCTCCCAGGTGTCTTTTAGTAACAATAACTGACATTTTTGAGCTCTCACAGCATGCTAGGTGCTGGGCCAAGAGGCTTACACCTCATCTTATATAGTCATTCAAACAATCCCATGATGGAGGGACCATTATGAGCCCATTTTGACAGTTGAGGAAACTGAGGGTTAAACATGCTCCATAATTTGCTGAAAGTCACTGCACTAAGAAAGAACAGAACTGGGATTGGGATTCCAGTCATTCTGCTCCCAGAGGTGGGTCCCTTAACTGTTGTGTCAGTGTCTCCAAAACTCCTTGTGGGGTGTGTCTTCACCAAAATCAACTGAAATCCCACTGCCAGACACAAACAATGTTATAATGCTGGTGATTTATCCATTGAATTTTTAAAATAGATTTTATGACATTAATAATTCTTTAAGAGTTGTGATAATATGGTACACACAATTTTGTACCCTACTTTCGCCTCTTAACACTACATTTTCAATATATATTTTTAAATGATACATATCACACCTTTTTTTCATTTCCATGGCATAAAAATCACTCCTACAAAGCATGTGTGGATCAGTAACCTTAACTAAAGATGTAGATGTAGAGCATTTCCAGGCCCCCAGAAGGCATCCTCTTGACCCTCCTACTCAATGTTGTTGTTGTTAGGTGCCGTCGAATCTGTTCTGATTCCTAGCGACCCTGTGTACAACAGAACGAAACACTGTCCGGTGCTGTACCATCCTCACAATCATTGCTATGTTTGAGCCCTTTGTTGCAGCAACTGTGTCAATCCATCTCATTGAGGGTCTTCCTATTCTGCTCACTCTCTACTTTACGAAGCATGATATCCTTCTCCAGGGATTGGTCCTTCCTGATAACACGTCTAAAGTACATGAGATGAAGTCTTGCCATCTTCGGTTCTGAGCATTCTGGATGTACGCCTTCCAAGACAGATTTGTTCATTCTTCTGTCAGTCCATGGTATATTCAATATTCTTCACCAACACCATAATTCAAAGGCATCAATTCTTCTTCGATCTCCCTTATTCATTGTCCAGCTTTTGCATGCCTGTGAGGTGATTCTAAATACCATGGCTTGGAACAGACACACCTTAGTCCTCAAAGTGACATTCTTGCTTGTTAACACTTTAAAGAGCTCTTTTGCAGCAGATTTGCCTAATGCAATACATCCTTTGATTTCTTGATTGCTGCTTCCATGGGCTTTGATTGTGGATCCAAGTAAAATGAAATCCTTGACAACTTCAGTCTTTTTTTCGTTTATCATGATGTGCTTATGGGTCCAGTTGTGAGGATTTTTGTTTTCTTTATGTTGAGGTGTAATCCATACTGAAGGCTGTAGTCTTTGATGTTCATCAGTAAGTGCTTCAAGTCCTCTTCGCTTTCAGTAAGCAAGGTTGTGTCACCTGCATCTTGCTGGTTGTTAATAAGTCTTCCTCCTCTATTTTGCGATCTAATGCGATTATCCTATGTGTTGTAAATCCTAACCTCTATGATGTTAATGAGGCAGGATTAGAGGTGGTTATGTTAATGAGGCGGGACTCAATCTACAGGATTAGGTTGTATCTTTAGTCCATCTCTTTGGAGATATAAAAAAGAGAAACAAGCAGAGAGCAGAGGGAGCCTCATACCACCAAGACAGAAGCACCAGGAGTGGAGCATGTCATTAGACCCAGGTCTCTGGGCTGAAAAGCTCTTAGACCAGGGTAAAATTGATGACAAGGAGCTTCCCCCAGAACCGACAGAGGGAGAAAGCTTTCCCCTAGAGCTGGCGCCCTGAATTGGGACTTCTAGCCTCCTAGACTGTGAAAGAATAAATTTCTGTTTGTTAAAGTAAAAAATAAATAAGTCTTCCTCCAGTCCCAATGCTGTGTTCTTCTTCATATAGTCCAGCTTTTTGGATTATCTGCTCAGCATACAGATTGAATAAGTATGGAGAAAGGATACAACCCTGGCACACACCTTTCCTGATTTTAAACCATGCAATATCCTCTTGTTCTGTTCAATCAACTGCCTCTTGATCTATGTACAGGTTCCTCATGGGCACGATTAAGTGCTCTGGAATTCCCATTCTTCACAATGTTATCCATGACTTGTTATGATCCACACAGTCAAATACCTTTGCACAGTCAATAAAACACAGGTAAACATCTTTCTGGTATTTTCTGCTTTCAGCCAAGATCCAGCTGACATTAGTAATGATATCCTTCATTCCACAACGTCTTCTGAATCTGGCAGTTCCCTGTTGATGAATTGCTGCAACCTTTTTTGAATTATCTTCAGCAAAATTTTATTTGTGTGTGATATTAAGGATATTGTTCGATTTATTCTGCATTCTGATAGATTACCTTTGGAATGGGCACATATATGGATCTCTTCCAATCAGTTGGCCAGGTAGCTGTCTTCCAAATTTCCTGGCATAGAAGAGTGAGGGCTTCCAGTGTTGCATCTGTTTGTTGAAACATCTCATTTGGTATTCCATCAATTCCTGAAGCCTTGTTTTCCCCCAGCTAGGACTTCTTCTTTCAGTACCATCTGTTCTTAATCATATACTACCTCCTGAAATGGTTGAATGTCAACCAATTCTTTTTGGTACAGTGACTATATATTCCTTCCACCTTCTTTTGATGCTTCCTGTGTCGTTCAATATTTTGCCCATAGAATTCTTAAACATTGCAACTTGAGGCTTGAATTTTTTCTTCAGTTCTTTCAGCTTGAGAAATGCTGAATGTGTTCTTCCCTTTTGGTTTTCTAAATCTAGATCTTTGCACATTTTATTATAATACTTTACTTTGTCTTCTCAAGGTACCCTTTGAAATCTTCTGTTCAGCTTTTTTACTTCATCATTTCTTCCATTCACTTAGGGAAATAGCTATAGCAAACGTTTATTGATAGAATGCCACGCATGGCATTTTGCATGCACGCACATTCTCATTTAATTCTCATAACAATGCTATG